GAGCGGAAAGTTGCTCGACCACAAGAGAGACTCTTCCTTTTGCTTTCATCCGGGGAAAAGTTCCCAGCACTCTTCTGACGAAAATAAAAGTTGATGGGTTGTGTCGTGTGAAAAAAATGAAATAGCAACGATATTTTGCACTAAATGACAGGCTTTCTGATACTTTTGATGCATGTTTTTCCCCGGGTTTCGACGGGATCTGTCTGGTTGAATAATTGGCAGTTCAGCATCAGCACAAGCTTATTACGAAACACTGTTTCGCATCTTTCGAATAAGTATGTTCAGGTGGAATATTATACATCAGGTCCTGTCATCGGATATTACATTTTTCTGTTCCTAATACTGTTATCTGGACATTTTTATAATGTTGCGCGCACAGTTTTGATCATTGCAACACAGGTTCTTAAAACGCATCCTTTTACTTTATTTTAAATATTCTAAAAGAGTTCTGCTCAACTGATGTAGAGGAATTGCGCATCGTTTTATAATTGAGAATAATAATTATGTTATGCAAACATAATTACTATAACATTTTCAAACATAATTAACTCCTTGATCAATTGACTTTTCTGTAAATGGGAATTTGTTTTTTATCATATATCATTCAGTAAATTGTGAAACATTTTAAGCGTCTGAAAAAAATTCTGGAATCTTATAACATCATGGGACATGTCATGATTTTTTTCAATCGCATCTATACTCTGAAAATATCAGAGCTAGGACGCGTGCAACTGGGACAACCCTTGTATGCTGAAAGTACCTTTTGATCAATGTGTTCCAATGAAACCGGGGAAAACCTTTAAATTTTTTAAAATTCCCCGTCCCCTGTCAGAATTTTGGCAATGCATCTTAACAGAAAACTATTAACATAGGTGAGTTCTTTGCATACCGTCTATATAAGAAGGTAGGAAACAATATCGAAACAAAAAGAAGGAATTGATCTGCAGGGCTGTATTTTAGTTTTAAAAAAGTCTCATCCTTTTAGCTGAAAGTATGTTCTGAGAGAATTGTTTAAAATATTTTTGAATTAATTTTGTGTATGAAAGAAAAATGTTGGCTCATCTTTTCAGAACAATCTGATGCCATCAAGTTTTGTTATTGCTGGTCTATATGACATAAATCCTAAACAGCTGCCAAGCAAGAATGTCCTTGATGCATTCATTTATGATAAATTTCTCTGAAATTAAATTTACACCAAAGCTCTTGACTTATCTTGTTCTGAAGTCATTTATATTCTATAGCACCCCATGGATTATCTTTCGTGTGTACAGTATACCAGTATTCAAATAGTTTCCCTCAAAATTTTAGAACAGATTTTTCATATTTCTAGGCACAACTGTAGTACAAATTCACAACTTTTCAAGTGTTTTCTTCCAAATAAAGTGACAAGTATCTAATGGAGGGCATATTTCTGATGCATGTCAAAAACGCTTTTCACCAGATTTTCGTTCACACAGGTGGAGTCTGTTCAACAATATTGTCTACAATGTTTTTTTCAGTATATATTTTTTTGGCTCAAGAGGGTTCTCTTCTCACTTAATGATAGGTCTTCAGAACAAATTTTTCAGCAGACTTGATGCATTGAAGTTGCACTGATCACTTTCCCCAGTGAAATTAATACGAAAATCTTTTTAATTTTGGGAGATGCCCACGCAAAGAAAAAAAATTGGCAGAATAATACGTGCCTTACCTAAGCAGGATATATGTAGCTCTTTTGTCCAAATCCTGTTTTAGAGATGTTCTCTACAATGAAATTCTCTCTCTAAAAATGATTTTTGTTATCCCTTGGATTTTTTTTTTGTACGGAGAGTCGACCTGTAATTTCAAATGCTATTCATCTTGAAACTTTAAAAAACTGAATCGACGGAATTCGTATTTCAACCGCTTTTTGATGATTTTAGGTTCGATAAATCTCACATCCTATATATTTTTCTTCCTTCGAAATCCCGTCCTATCCCCGCATATAATTGAAGGTCCGATGCGTTATTAATGCTACTTTCGACTGAAACTTTTCCCGTCGTAAATTATTGACCGATTTACAGGTGCGAGATGCGTTTCTCATTTCCTCCTCTCCTCTTCTTCTCGTTTTACTTTTTTTTTTTTTGCCTGTATATATTGGTGAGGAAAATTTGCTACTCGCTCGAAAGTGAAAACATTGACCAATGAGCGCGTTGCTTTAATGATCTTTTTTCTTCCCGATTCTGTTTTTTTGGGTTTATTTTTCTCTTTCTTTCCTGTTCGCGGAACGTGGAAAAATGTTCCCGGGGCGCCGCTGGGATTTCATTCCCGGTTTCGGCGCCTCTGCGTTCGGTCGTGACTCGTGACGAGAAAATTGCTCGTGACTTAGTCGCCTTTATTGTGTGTTTACGCGAGAATAAGACGCCATGGACTCTGAGAAGCAAATCAATTTTATTTTAAACCGGTCAACCTGGTGGAAAATAATTTTTGGACAATCTTGAATGTGCGTTAGCAAAAAAATAATAATAGTTGAAATTGTGTAGTAAAAGTGAAGCAAAGCATTGTATCGATCTCAGAAGGTTCTCATTCGAAATATTTTTTTATTCAATTTTTTTATTCAAGCTGATGAATAATCTACAGTATAATATAAGCCAATTCCACTTGTATCGCAGATCAGGTAAAAGTTATAACAGTGCATGGATTTCAGAGTATATTCTTACTGTGTTGTGTCTTTTATTTTGTGCACATGAGACGCCATCGAATCTATAAAATTCAGCTCAAATTATGTACATCAACTGCTGGTTAATCTGAACATAAAGTTTTTCTGTTAAGTTTTCAAGATTCGCTCTCACTTGATTGCACCGGAATGTTCAAAAACTCTTATACTGTATATTTTGAGTAGGTATCCCAAAAATTCGAGTGAGTTTGGTGCCGTCATTTTGCATTTTAACTTTTGTGTAAAACTCCATGGAGTCTAAAAATAAAATCATCGCAAAATATTTAGCTAATGAAGCTTTCCCAGAGAAGTTGAATCTAAGACATATACTGTATAGAAATTCTGACGTAAAATTAATTTTAAAAATGTTTCGGTTTCAGAGTGTTCCTTTATCGGCATTGTTTATTTACACTCAAATCCGCTAAAATCGAATTTAAGATACTACTGAGCAATTTTAGAAAATTCGAGCTGACAAAATATGTTTTGTTCCTTAAACTAAGATTCGCCGTCATTTTCTTTACGATGAACGCGTCGCAATATAAGAAGTTTTTTTTACAGCACATATAAAATTGGAGATCAACATTAAAATCCTGAATATAACTCTCAAAATTTGTTGACACATTTACAGTTTTAGTTTTCCTAAGTACATTCGCAATTGCTAAGTTTAACATCAGACGAAAATCCTGCCTTTCAAAAATACTACAATTTTAAAAAATACGCGGAGAAAAAATTGCGCAAGAATCAGAATTTTTATTAGCATAAATTATAGATACATCAGTAAAATGTTGGCTTTCGAAATATATAATTTTTTTAAACCTATGCTCGTCTGTACAGAAGAAATGCATTCCACGGATTCACGACATTTATTTGAATCTGCCTCTGTTTTTTACCGTTTAGCATGACTTTGCAGATACTTTATATCCATGTAAAAAGCGTTGAAAGTCACGCATTTTCAGACCCATCCAAACTTTTTTTTTCGAATTAACTTCTGAAAAAATACTAAGTGAACTTAATTTAGACGAGAAGACCTTTCTCTGTGCGGTCGTGGGAAAGCGTGTATTAGTTAGTATTTTACAATTATAAAATGTGTGTGTGTGTGTGTGTGTGTGTGTGTGTGTCTGGGTGCATGAGTGCTTTTTCGTTTTCCGGAAAAAGTTATTCTAGTGATATAATTGTGAGAACAGGATGTTGGAAGGAAGAGCGATCCGTCTCGTAATTTTGACGTGTTTGGTGAGCGTGTGTACTGGACAAAGCAGTCGGGATGAGGACTTGTGGGTGAGTTTCTTATATAGTTCATATAAATTTCCTTTTCGTTTAAATGTTTTTGCTGTTTTTCTTTCAACTTGAATTTTGTTAATGGACTCTAATTGTGTTCTGGATTTCGTAACTATATACGATTCGGGGGCCGATTGCCAAGTGTTATTGTTATACCTGCTGCTGATGTTCATTAAGCTGGCAGCAGATAATTCATTTTTGTGCCTTTTCTTTTCTACAGTGCTGGGAAGTTGAGATTAATCCCAGAAATTGGGGACATATTGTCACTGCAATATAAGGTGGTGTTGAATGTTGCAATAAAATACAGAAATCAGTTCAGGACAGGACCAGGAATTCTTTGTAGGAATTCTGAAGTTATGGACTAAAGTGTATTTCACACCAATAATCAATTAAATGACTCAGCGAACTCTTCTCACAGCTAAGCTAAATCAGCTAAAGGATAACTCAAAAACTGCTAATGATGATGTTGATCTAACATAAACTTCTTATATATACCATATTCAGAAACATTTAACCTTCATCGGTTTCTACTTTATGTTACAGAAAGACTTTTAATAGGTCCAGAATCAGGAATTGAAGATGCGATTTATTTGAGGAGGGGAAGCTATTAATGATTTATAGGAATTATACAGTATTTAATAATTAATGTTCGGCTTGCTTGCCCAACACCATCAGATGAGAAAGAAAATTTTATTAGTATATTTTTGCGGAATTCTTTTTCATTTTTTTGCGTTTTGTCCGGATGGATTTCCTGAAATATGCAGAGGAATTTGTCCTTGCTTAAAGCTCAATGTCAATTAAAATGCACCGAATCATGATATCGATTTAACTTAATGAGGCGATTGAATAACTTTCCGGTTACTTTTTTTCAAAATTGAAATCGTCTCGGTAGATATGTATTCAGTGTAGACACAAATTTAGCATGCTATTGAAAAGCCATCGTTTTTTTTTTGCGTGTTTCGGATCTTGAGTGAAATGCTCGCAAAAGTGGGTCGAAATTCGCGTTTAAAATGCTTAATTTTATTGGGAAAGGGAGGATAATTTTTCATTGCTTCTTAACTTATTGCCTGTATACTTCAAAATCGGAAATTGAATTTGAGTTCTTGGTAATATAATTTGCTGTAAGCATGAAATGAATTGAAGGACCTCGTCCGCGAAGTTTTCGATCTCGGCTGTATGTGACATTTAATGCAACTCTTGTATTTTTGCAATTTTTCAGCAGGAATTCGTTTTATTTTTCACTCATTTTTCCGCTTTTGAAGTATCGTAAATGTCCAGAGAAAAGAAGGCTGAAAATGTATGCGATGAACTATTTACGAGAAATGCAATCAGTATTAAAAACCAGCGAACAATATTTTTGAATTCGTTTCGTAGGTGAATATCATCAGTATACAGGTAAACTGATTTTTTTTAACTTTCTCTGAAATAATAAAAAAATTGTTTCAATAATTGTGCTCATCTTCAAACAATTTGAGAAAAAGATCGATTTAAAACCATAATTACCAATTTGCTGTGTTAATTGTGGACTTGACTGTTGATTTTTCCCAGATCTTTCGACGATTAAACTAAATCAGATCTGCTTTTCTTGAGGTTGATTTTGCGCAACTTTCCGTTGCATGAATATTTCCGTAGGATACTAATCATTCAAGTGACGCTTCTCTTCCTCGTTTCAGCAACTAAATTGAGAAAATGAGTTCACTGGAAAAAGGCCGCGCGAAAATTAGCATGCATGAATTCTCTGCTCTGATTCGGTCTGTAAATCACACTGCAAAAGCACCGTGACTCGAAAATTGCGGCTTAAAATAATAATTTACAATGCGTAATTAAAAAGTGGATTTTACAGGATTTAATGTGATTTTGCACGAAACTTCCGTGTTAATGCTTTCGGCCGCTTTTAGGTTCCGTCAGTTTTTCTGCGGCTCTGTGTTAATTAGTGGGAAAGCTGAAGTGCGAAGCATTTGATTAATTGAAAACACATTTTGTGATTGTGATGTAAAATACTTTATAAATGGCGAGGAAATCATTAATACGTGCGCATGCAAAGTGTACATGAATTTTCAAAAATAAACGGATAAAAGCTGATGAATTCAAGCGTTATTTTCATAAATTTCTGCATGTAGGTTTTCACCTCCAAAATAACGATCTGAACTAAAATAAAACCTGGTGACTTGAAAAACTAAATAATCATCAAATTTAACATATTTTCAAAGTTATCCTTTTCTTTACCTTATATTGCAGACGAGAGCGTTCGTTTGTTTGCTAAAATTTTACGCTGAAATTTATGTTGAAATCAAGGAATTTCTGGGGTTAATCTACCATCAGCATCAATTAACACCTCCATTGTCAAAAATTTGTTTCATTCCTCATTTTCTTGGGAGAAATATACAAACTCAAGATAATCAACCAATTTGAAACCATGAAGGCAATATTTGTGTGTTTGATAGATATAAATTTTAATCTCAAAGTTGGCTTTTTTATTTTAGAACTTTGCACACCTATATATAATAGTGCTTTAATTTTTCGATTCTTGAAGTTGCGAAAGTTTTCTTTGTAAAATTGTTTCTGGAAGATTTTTGGAAAAGAAAAAGGCCATCCTTTTATAATGAGGCACAAATACTTTCAATTTATTAGACTGATGAACCCTCGTAATTTTAATTTTACGTTGCTTTCTTCGTGCTCATTTTCGTCATATTCTTTGTAATTTTTGTTTGTACAAGTTTTGCGAAAAAATTAAAAGGTAAATATTTAATAATCCGCTACTTTTTTGAATTGGTTTAGGACTTCTTGAGCTAAGTGAGAACTTTTGAAAAATGGCTTTTTCGCGGAAACAGAGCATAAAATCAACTCGTAAATACGATTTTATGTTGCTTTGCTTGAGCTCATTCTTGTCATTTCCCCCCATTGTTATAGTTTTAATAAAACTCTAATAATTAAAGATATTACAAAAGAACAAGTGTCATATGTCAGATCGATGGTTAGATAAACGCAGGCGCATTTTCCGTACACGAAATCACCCAGCCTTTCTCACATTCGCTTTTGACAGCTGTCAGACACTTCAAGAAAGCTAGAAAAAAAGTAAAAAAAATAAATAGCGATTGGGATTTACGAAATAGTTTTGGCAACAGCAGTGGAATGTTTTGATATCGATCAGGATTAGGCGCGACTTTTTTTTATTTCGCTTTCTACTACAGTGTATAAAAAAATATAAAAAATAACGCAACCCGCGGAGGGAAGCGAAGAAGAAAAGTTGTATCATCTGTTGAGCCCAAACATCATTTGTTATCCGAAACCGACACTGAAGAGATGAGGGATGATGAGGATACCATGTGTTGGACTCTGTCAGTCAAAAGCTCTCCGCAATGCAGTCAGCAGTCAACCAGAAAACGTTTCCTCTTTTCAAAATCCCCTTCCTGATTTATTTTTTTTCAAGTTTCCCACAGAAAAACAATGAAATTTCTTGGTCCCGCTTGAAAATGACGCGAGAAATGACAAAAGGGCTTTTTTTGGAGTCGGATGATGGCGTTTGTCGAGTAAAAAATCACCAATCAGAAAAAGAGGCAAGAATGACGTAAATTTAGCATGATATGAGAGTGAAATTCAGCAATAAATCGACTCTTGTAAGAATATCTCTTGATAAAATTCCATTAAGAAAATAGACGAAAATGTCGGATTCAAAAAATCACTGAGAAGAAAATTTACACTGATAAACCAGCAATAAAATATCAAGCAACGACAAACAAATGCAAATAAAATTATATCGAGAGACAGCTGAATTTTTTTCCCCTTTTTTACTCTCCCTTTCCTAAGATTCGTAAGCCCACTCTCTTATACTGTATTAGAAAATGGTTTTAGTTGAGTAAGAAACACGCGGAAATTATTTGTGCCTTCGAATTTTTCGGATTTTTTTCTGACATTTTTTCAAAATGCTGTGATATATATTTAATTCTCAAATTCTTGAAATTTGGATACTGAAGGCTGTTGAAATTGAAATGATTGGCATGATTAACTTATTAATGAAAACATCGAGCCTAATTTTTCTACCCACATCCAATTATTAATTCGCCCTTATAAAAAATGCTTCGAAAACTCCATAAATTTGAATGATTGTCTTGAAACATTTAAAACTTGTCTTAAAACCTCCGAGTTTGAATTAAAATGACTTGTTATTAAAGTGACTGTGTTTGGAAAATGAACAATTGAGTGCTTTTTGTAATGGGTCTTGATTACGTACATTGAATCTTCCAAATGTGTTTTTACTTTCAAAAAATTGAGCGACCCGAGGAAAGGTTGTTCTTTCAGTTTCAATGATTATGGATCACTCAATTTTCCCCAAGAAGTGAAATGATCTGACGCAGAAATAGACTGATTGCTTCTGAGGGATTTTTTTGTTTTATAAATGCATCATTTCCTGTTATGAACTGACTAGAAATAATGTCACTTTTACAATGGGAACTTTTTTGGGTGAAGAAAGGATAATGGTTTTACAATCCAGTGATTTATTGAAACATGTGCGTAATCGGGTGGGAAAGTTGAACAGCACCCATTTCACAAGATGCGCGGAAAATGTGTTCTGAACACATTATATCCACGAATAAATTTCACGATTGAAAATCATTTCTAGCTTTGCGGAATAAACCAGTTTAAATTTTTTTCATGGCAATTTTTATTCTGGGATAATTAGCGAATCTACAATTTTTAGAAAAGTCGTTTGTACCAAACTCGAAATTCTTGATGGCATCAGTATTTATTCAATTAATTGCGGAGATCAGAAGAATTGATAAAAATGTATAAAAATCCATCCACGAACGAAGAATATAATGTATAGAGACATATGCGTATCTTCAATATCTTGTTTTTTGGAATTTGGAATTTGAAAAAAATGAAACATTTGCTCATTTCAAGGGTACACTTTAGAATAGGCAACTTTGAAGAAATGAAATAATGCTGATTTGCATAAGTTAAAATATGTGTCATCAGAAAGAATGTCGTACGATGATATTTCGTATTCTCCTGACATCTTCGAAAGCGAAATGCATTCTGGGTTTTAAAATATTGACTGTTTCTCTTCAAATAATTTGTAGATTATAATCTTTCAAAGTTATATTCTTCTCCATAACACATTTAGTGCGTCAAAAATACTGTGTATTGGAAGATTCATTTTTATCATGAAAAAGAAATGCAGAAATGAGAATAATCCGCTAATTTCAGGTGCACAATAATTTCTTGAGACTTTTCGTCGGAAGAAAAATCGTTTTCGCGGAAAGGAGTCGCCAATTTGTCCAGTGATTTGTTTCGACTCCGGAAAAAAACTTTCCCCTTCATTTCGCTCGAAACCCTGATGAAAAGACCCATTTTCGTGCGTGTAGGTCATTCTGTTGCCTAATGAACCGACCGACGAGAAGGTTCTTCATTCTTTTCAATGGTAATTTTATTCCCAGGTCATTTCGGCGGAAATTTAGAACGACGAACTTTCGCAATTGGCTGCGCTAATGCGAGTTCGCACGATGTTTTTAAGGTCTCTTATTGTCCCCCAGGGGAAAATTCCATGGAAAAAAGTGAAGTTTCTCTTTCCTTTGATGACTTTGTCTAAAATTTTTGTGAATGATTTAATTTTGCATCATCATTAGAATCACGATTTAAAAAAAATCGCTGCTGTTTTTAATTAGTCTGGGAGAAAGAAATTAATATTTTTTTTCAATCCACAAATTTCACCACTTGAGAAATACTGCGCGTCACGGTTTTCGAATCTTGTGTTGGGAAGTAACCCGAGTTCTGAATTGGTATGTTGTGAAAGGTATTTTTAATTCATCGTATTTCATTTCAGAATTGTCTTTCTCTTGCAAGATTAGCATTCTCCCTTAACCCGAAGTGATTAATGTTGAACTAAGTACGTACGCTTTCAGGCGTGCAGTTGAAAGAGCATCTGGAAGCAGAATAAAGCCGGAGCATTGATCACGAGATTAAAAATTCTTCTCATACTTCCAGCCTGAAAAGCTCAATGAACCTCAGGCAAATTGCCGTGAGGCCCTCTCAAAAATTCCTGTAGATTTAGTTAGCAGATTAAAATTCTGAAAAATGCGCAAAAATTTCAGCAGCTGATTGCATTTGCGGGTGTTGGTTGCCAATTGTTTCTGTAATTTTAAATGTGGTACAGGTGGTACCTTGCAATCTGACACTAATATTTTGCTGGACAGGGGTGAAGTTCCAAAGCAGTCAAATTGCAAGACAAGGTCACATGACATGTTTTCTAAATGACATTTGACCTTTCATGCCTCTCAACATGTCAAATTACACAGCAGAGGTCAAATTGAGAGTCAACCTCTCAGCAAATTTGACCATCGAATAGCAAAATGGTCGGATGGCAAAAGGTCAAATTTCAAGGTATCACCTTTATAGTATTCTTGATACTGGATTCATGAAACTATTTTATGCATTTCTTTACAACTTATTCCTAATACCTAATCAAGTCCTGTAGCCCCCTTTTTTTAGACACCCTTGAAAATTAGCCCGAAAGATTGTTTCCAAAATGTATTTTAAATGGTATGAGTACCGTAGTTTAAACAACAACAAAATAATCTCTTGCAATATTGTTTAAAGTTCCATTGCAGGGAATATTAAAATACTATTTCTGAGAGAAGATGACCGAACAACTCTGTCATCTAAAAATATTCTTGCTCTCAAATGCCGCTCAAGTAGTGGATGAAGGTTTCAAAATTGCGTGCTAATCCTTAATGGGGTCTGCAAATCATTCTCTCATCTCAACCTGTTCCCAAAAAAAAAGCTAAGCATTTAAAAACAAATCCAAATTTTAACATTTTGCTTCCTGCTCTCGAAAAAAACCCCTGCTTCCAAATCCTCCGCTCAAGTGAAAGGCTTTCAAAACTTTTGTGCTAATCCCCGGGGACTTGCCAAGAAGCTCACTGCAAATTATGCACGGAGCGGTTGAGTAACCGACGACATGTGGTCCAGTAGTTTCGGGTGTATGGACGCCGGACTCACACTGACGCTGTGGGGGGACGGACTGGGGCGATAATGAAACAAGGAAGCATATACACAGTATATAAGAAGAAAAATAAATACAGAAAGAAAGAGATAAATCCAGCACAAGTAAAAAAAAATAAAGGAACAGCACAAGAGCCCGGACTTGAAAGTGGAAAGCGCGCTTCTCACGTTGATTGCTCTGTGCTGTGTGAGTTATATACAATATATACGAACATATATATGTCTTTTTTATTTTTATTTTTTGTGCTGGCCAGAATCGCAGCAGCTGACACCAAGTAGTTATTGGCCTGGAGGGCGTTTTACAGTGATCCCAATGGCGTTGATTACCCATACCTTGTGTGGTGTTCAGGGCGCAGAGATTTTCAGAATACTTCTTACCTTTTCCCGTTTCTGCTTATCAGCAACTAATGTGGTCATTTGGCAGAAAAAAAAATAATTTTGCTTACTCATATCAGAAGCTAAACGATTTCTCAATGACAGGAGACGAAAGAGTTGGATTTTCTTGTACAATTGGTTGAAAATAAGTCAAAATGATCAGCACAGATTTTTTATGTAGATTTTTAATTTGATGTTAGAAACTTGCTTTGGTGTTGAGATTTTTTTCCAGATCCTAAAAATGTAATGTAGGAAGGATTTCTTGATTCAAAGAGCTCAAGAAATTGATCATCAAATCATTTGTCAAGAGGGGAAGTTGTCCTGTGTTGGTGACAATTACTTTTCAATAATACTGTAGTGAAATTTTGTACCAAAAAACTTCTAGAGACGCTTACATATTTTATTGCAAACATTTCGTTCTATCAAAATCTCCATGAAAATTTTTAAAAATATTGTTCTGAAATAAGAACTGAGTTTTTGAAACCCAAATTTTTTCCAGATACTGTAAATCATAAATTTTTAGATAAAAAAGTTGGACATCCCTAAGTAAAACTCAGGGGACAAAGTTTTGAATTTTTAAAATTTTTTCCAGATAAGGAAGCTGGAATAATTTTTTTAATGTTCAATGTTGACAAATTTTCAGAAAGTGAAAATTGGTGTTTTAGAGTATTTCAAACTGTTATGAGCAGCAAAAATCGACGCCAAACGTCAAAATAAGGATACATTTTCCCAATTAATCACTCAAGTTTTTTTTTATTAGCATGAACTTACAATTTTATTCCTCTTTTATTTCCATCGACTCCAAGAATATTTATTAGTGAAATGGCCTGAGGAAATTTGAGTTAAAGGGGTTTGAAGATGTAAAGTTTCTGAGCTTTTTGTCCTTGTATAGTGAATAAAGAGGGATTTTTAAAATGCGTCACAGAATCATTTTTTCCATGTTTTCCAGCACTGAAAAGAAACTGTCCCCCTTAAATCAGAATACTGTACCCGAAAATGCTGTCTTTCACTGCGAATCCCTTTCGAAAGACGTGGGTTAGGCTTTTGTTAATCCCATGAAATGAGTCTTAATGACGCCTTGCGGTTCGTTTCTATATAATGAATACCGACTCATCTTTCGCTTGATGACTGTTTATTCCGAAGATTACCACCTAAACCGCCATTTGATTGAAAAAAAGTCAATGCATCACTCACTTATTTCTCCGGATACAGAAAAACCTTTTCTTCAACGGAAGTTTCGTCGATAATCGTGTTCTTCTGTCGTTTTGATCGCCGTTTTTTTTTTCTTTGAGAGAGGTAATTCCATGGTTTGATTTTTCAGAAGAGCTTTCTCTACAGTGCTTCTCAAGATGGGTAATTTGAGGTCTTCTGAAGATCATTAAACATTTGTAATAGTAGATCGTTTAAAAGCTCTAAAATGAGGTTCTCTTGGTCAGCCAAGTTTCTGAGTTCGATTTAATGACACTTGAATAAGGGAGTGTTTATTCATTCACTGAATATTGTATTCGATTGAAGCACTGAACTCAGAAACTTTTCACTCACCAATTCACATTTTAAAAACCTCACGAACAACATTGTCTGAGATTTTCTGCTTGAATTCATTTTGAAAAATCGCACGAAAAATTGCAAAAAAAAATTTGATTCGAATTATTTTTCAGTCTGATCAGCAGAGAAGCAGTCAGCCAAGAAAACCTGCTTCATCATCAAGATCTGTAGACGAGTTGGAGGAATTAAGAGGATCAATTCCTGGAGAACCCGGAAGAGATTACCCCATTTATGCCGTGGCCCCGGAAACGAAATTCAATTGCGACGGAAGAGGATCTGGGTATTTTGCCGACACAGAAGCCGGTTGCCAGGTTTGTTCCAAGTGTTTTTGTTTAAAATGTATCAGGTGTTAAAAAAATATTTATAGAACAGTCGTATAGTTGCCATGATTCCGGCAGTGGTTGTGTTCTTACACTTGGGGTTATTAAGAATATTGCTTCCGCAATTACCCAAATGTGAATCATTGCGAAAAGATATGAAAAATGGAAATGTGCTTGAGATGACCACAATTTAAAAATATCACTATGATTTATAGTGGAAATTAATTAGCTTCGGATAAAAAACAAGCTTGGGTGCAGGAGCATTAAAGGACCTTTGAGTACCTTAAAATGAAAAAAACGTGAAGAAAATTATGATTGTAAGTAATAAAATTGAAGTCGCTTTGTTCAAGGTTTGTTGTGCAATTAAAAATTCATCTTTAAAAAGTTATCATGTCAGTGTGATTTGTGTAGTTGAAAATAATTTACTTGGGCTTCTGGGAAATTTTTTGGACATTCATCAGAATTTCATGTATATCGTATGTTTGAAATTTTATTTTTTCATTCAGTTTATCAAAATAATCCAGTCACCTTCAAATACGGATATCTATCGCTTTTTCAAGTTCCCAATTTGTGTAAAATGTGTCAAGTCAAGATCTCCATCAGTGGTTATGAATTATTTCACTGGATTTGTTGCAAACCGGTCAACACCTCCAGCACAGGTCAATTTGAATACGACAAAATATACACGAAACACAGGTTTGCGTGCAGCTTTGAAGAATAACTGTATTTCACCATTCTCCCAACAAACATTAAATTCTTGCTTCTGCTATTCAGTAAAGGTGCTTCTGAAAATTTGCGAGTATAGTGGCCATCCATTCATTTTTGGTGATGTCCAATTCAACGGCGGTCGTCCTGGTGGTTGCTTCTAAATAATAAAAAAGAAGTTCGTATTTCATTGAAAACCAGTGATTTCACATTTCTGAATTTATTAACAATGCGACTCAATCAATAGCCAAAAAAGCGACATAAAAACTGAGCGTCATCGTAGAATAATTGCTTCACGTAATAAGCAGAAATAATGCTACTTATTGTGTGTGAAAAAAAACGATTTGAAAATAATTCGTCTTTAGGTAAAACACTATATTCTACGAGTCTTCGGATTTTTTTGCTTATAAGTTGGGATGATGCCAGAAAAAGATTTTCAAAATTAATGCGTCTCAATAAATAAGGAAAAATGTGACATAAAAACTGAGCATCTTCGTGAAAGTGCATCACGTAATAAGCAGAAACAATGAGTCCTGTCTGAAAATAAAGAAAGATTCGAAACGAATCCATCTTTAATAATAACACCACACTATATATATTCTACGAGTCTTCGAGTTTATTGATTTGGAAATTGGAATGATACCGGAAAATTATTTAAAAAAAACGCCTCTTCAAAATAGCCAAAAATATGTGACGAAAAAACTGAGCGTCATCGTAAAAGTTTATCACGTATAATAAACAGGAAAAAATGTTAATTATTATGCATGGAAAAAGACAGATTTCAAAAGAATTCATCTCCATAACTAACAACGCATTATATTCTACGAGTCTTTGAATTTATCAAGTTGGGATAATGCTGGCAATTTATTTCGAAAAAGCTCTGAAAAAAAATTGAATCTCACCGGTTGAGTCGTCAGCGGAAAAGAAATCGTTCAGCTGCTTCCGGTTCCGGTTCCGGTGGTGGAGGAGCGTTTGGATCTCCACCAAGAATTGTTGTAAATAATTCGTGTAAAGGTCTGAGAAAAGCCAATTGGGCATTGCTCATAGCGACTGTGGCAAGCAAAACGAGCAGCAAAAAGAAGCGCATTTTTGAAAGCTTGGTTCAACGATTGGTTTCCTGTTGAGATAAAAAAAAAATCATTTCTTGTTGAAATTGTATTTCATTGGATCCGGTTTCCGAAGGTTTTTTTCTACTCAAGTAACAACTGCTGCGAGCTTTCGTTGGGTTCTTCCTTCAATTATTGTTCTTATAATAAAGATATTTTAAAAGCTGAAATCGTATTTCCTCGGATTTACTTCGCAGAAGTTTTAAAAAATCACACATAGTTATGAATCTTGATTGATGGGTTCTAAAAATCACTCCTCGAAGAAAAATGTTCATGGAATTTCATTTTCGAGAATAGCGATTTAACTCTGAGGAGGCTTTAATTTCTTTCATTTTTATTAAAGTGTTACTGTGTGGACTTTTTTCAAAGATGGTGGCGTCTCGGTTAACGGGCCTGAAGTCCATTATCGAGAAATTGACAGACGTATATTTAGAATCCCAATGACAGGTTTAGAAATCCAAAAAGCTCATCAAGGTCTTCAATGTACGAGGGTTGGTTCATAAGTTTTGAGACCTTTTGAAATAGATCCAACTGAGTTTTAACAATTCAAAAAAAGTTTCCCTTGCATAGTCCAATTATTTCGCAACACTTCAATGATGTTCAACATATTCTGCCAATATCAATGCGTTTTTTTTCATGCGATAAATTCAGGGATCGAAATAGTGCCGAAAATCGAGATCGTCAAAGAGCTCTTTATAATCAATTAACGAAGCTCGATTTTTGTCCTTGTTTCGATCCTTGGATTTATCCCAAGAAAAAACTTATTTAAATTGGCTGAGACTATGTTGAACAGCCCTGAAGTGTTGCCAAATAATGGAAATATGCGAGTAATTCTTATTGAATTGATGAAACTCTGTTGGATATATTAAAATTGTTTACAATTTATGAACCAAAACCAATTTTAGATCCACTAGGAATTCCCTTGATATAGTCTCTTTTAAATTATTTACAAATATTGCTAATCGGCGGAAAATAGTAAAATGCCCACTTCGAAACTAAGAAACCAATGAGGGTCAACACAATCAAGATAATTCAAAAAAGATTTTAAATTCAAAACAGTTCAAATGAAAAGTTGATCTGTGGATGATTTCAATCAGAATCGCGGCTGCTTTTATGTACCCAGGACTCGGTACTGAAAGCTGCGCAAATTATCGCTATAACCTGTCTTTATCAGGCTACTTGTGAATGCGAAATTTCGTCAAGGTGACGATATCAAGTGCGAAATTCAATTCCCACAATTGGATATCAAATGCGTCGATTTTTGCATCTACGTTTGGATGATGAGTTCTTGTTGATATACAGGGTGGACCTGAAAAAAAGTAAATCAATTATTTCAATGATAACATCTTCTAAATATTTTTTTAAATTCAAAAAAAAAATCTGAGATTCACTCGCTCAGATATGCAATAATTTCCAGACTATTTAGCATTATTTCAATAGATTATTGTATAAAACATATGATCATTTAAAAATTGCCCATGGAATTTTCAAAAAATTCTGAATATACTATTATTCAAAGACAATTACCGTAATTATGCTTTTTTTCCGCGCAATCCTTAAAATGTAATGCTAGTAATATTTCCAGTAGATGCAGCATTGGATGTTTTTTAAATTGAATATTTTATTCCGTGTTTTTTTTTCTGCAGGTGTATCATTACTGTGATGGAATCGGCCGTCATTACAGCAATTTGTGCCCGAATGGAACAATTTTCAATCAGAAAACATTTGTGTGTCAATGGTGGTACAATGTACAATGCGACGATTCCGACACATTTTTCGTTCTCAATGAGAACCTTTACAGGGTGCGTTTTTTTCGAGCTTCATTTCTTCATGATTCATCTCAGACATCGATTTGCGAAATGCGCAAAAAATGAGCAATAAATTTAATGCGCTTTAAATCACGGAATCGTGATACTGCGTATTATTGTCACATTTGTTATTTCAGTGTCGGAACGCGATTTTTTGCAGATTCTTGCCAACAGGATGCGTCCTGAGTCGCAAATAATCTGACGCTGTGTGATTTTTTTCCCCTGATATATGAGTAATATGACTAATATTTAAATATTAATTTATATTGAAGATGGAAGCTCGGTCTCTTTACGACGGTTTCGAGAGTTTGTGGCAGAATGAGCAGCCCATCAACAAGCAGCGAACTTTAGATAGGCCCACTTTCAAGCCTCTGGTCACGGAAAGACCGAGGAAACCACCGCCAGTGACAAGACCGCCAAAAACTACACCAGCGCCGAAAAGACCAGAGTCGCAAAGACCCCGTATTGTTGACAATGGTCGAAGAGGTGCATCACAGACTGAAAGGTTGAATTATTCTCTAATTTTTTAAAATGCAAATACAAAAAATTGTGACTTCTTTTCGAATCGTGAAGCTGTGCTTTTATGCACTTTTGGTCACTAAAATGTGCCTCGAAGAACTTGGGTGCCTATATTTTTAAAAATTACTGATATAAAACACTTGATGTACGACTACAATAATGTGTTTGTTTTTAGTCATTCTGTGTCTGAGAACTTGTTAATTTTTGTCATAAGCAATTTCAGGAATTTTGGGAATAAGTTAAATTCGCCCAAATTTTTAAAAATTGGAATAATATATTTGCGAACTATCCATTAAAGCAATATTTTTGGAAACTCACGACAGAAACACTGCAGGTATATTGTCGTAAATATTTCATTATACAAAATTTTCAGGAATTATCATTTAAAAACTTTTGGGTTGTATATTCGAATTTTTTCCTCTAAAAGTTTCAGGATTTATTAAGTTTTCGCCCAATTTTTCTTCATATCTTCGAAGCAATAAGATGTTCTGGATCAATGCTCAGGGACATACAATATTACTAAATTTAATTGCAATTTAGTTTAATAAAAACTCAGAGGATTACTTTTTGAAAAACAACACCCATTTTTTCGACATATTTCTCATATCATTTTGGAAAACATTACCTGATAATGTTTGATATGGCCAGAAAAACGAAGATTCAAAGAAATTTGCCAATTTAAAGAATACATCTGAATTTCAGAAATACCTGTAAATCCAAATGCATGGTTATCTCGTTATGACGAAGTATAAAAAAAAAAATTACTGTTGAGGGTTCGCAGGTGTTTGTTGTAGCAAGTTCATCAATCAGAAATTTGATTAGTTCCAAAAGCTACAGCTATTTTTATTTTTAGAAAAATAAAGGCGCTTTGAAACAAAAGCGCAGTAAATGAAAATAAGAAAAAAATGCTCTTCTCATTTGTTAATGTATTTTTCTCTCAATTTTTCCTTCAAAATAGGTCGACGCAATATCGCGAAGAGGAAAGAACTCCTTCATCGCCTGTTCGGGAAACAACGTCATCTTGGAGAAGCTACGAAGACAATCACAGTAATAATAGGGACTCCATCAGGCCTTGGCAACCCGATTCCAAATTCTTGACGACTGTGGGTCCCGGGTACGAGTACCAGCCTCCGACTCGGGATCGAGAGAAGATCGTGATGAGATCCCGGGATGACACAGGTGATAGGCGTCCATCACTGGTGTTCATCGGAACACAACAGGAGACTAGTGAAGGAGAAGCAGCCAATGATGACAGACTTCGTTATGTGGAGTAAGTTTCTATATATACACAGTCAGTTCCTTTTTGGGCCTCAAACTTATGGACATCCCAAGATGTGCACAGTTCAACTTATGGACACTCTAAACTTAAAAAAAAAAGCTGTCACAACACCAAGACAATGTTTGAAGATGCTGTGCTATAAACATTCCAGAGAAACAATTTTGATATTTCTGAAGTCAAAATAAATGTTATCAAGAATTTACTGTAATACAGTATACAGCACAGTATTTTCAAGAACATGCTAATTTTACGCTTTTCTTTTTATGGCATTTGCATAAATTGTGGGAAGTACAGGGATAGACTCTCTCTGGAACAATCTTGTCTACAACAGGTTTCTCTTTATAGTAATATAATTATGGGTACACAAAAAGTATATGAATGAATGAATGAACAGAACACTTCATTTGCTGCTTTTCAGCGTTCACAAGGTTCAATCAAGATTTCCACAACCAAACCCCCTTCCCACCCAACCCAAATCCACTCAATGACATTTAATCACTTATTCAGAGCAGGAAAGCATTTGAATATATTTTTTGAACCCATAGGGTTCTCTCCCCATATTATAGGGGTTTCTGAAATGAAATTCAAGGGACCAGAAAGTAATTTTATGGACAATTTCCTTGTAGTTGGAGTTCATTTGCAATAAGTGCACTGGTTTTGTGCCTTTTGGACTCCTTTTTATGCAACAAGAAAGTTTCTCAATGGTTTTCTACTGTGCAGTTGATGTATGCGTTTTACAATGAATAAAAACATTTAATATTGCACTTTAATATCTATAGTTCCATTTTTGCCAAATAATGTCTGGGAAGTGATTGAAATGTTCATGTTGAAATCCATGGGAAAATTGCATCCATCTTATGCAGATGTTCCCACGAATGTAAAATATCTGAAAATTAATTACATAATAAGCAGATCACGTATAAACTTTGTCATATGCTCCCAAATTATCATGCATTGAAGTCCATCCTCCATCATAGCTTTTGGAATTTCAGGCAGATGTCGCGCGAATCACTATAGCCTCTCCCTCTCTCAAGCCTGCAAAAAAGGTTGTGCTATCAAAAGCATTATTTTCAGGAATAAAATTTTTGGGAAACACAAACAAGGTCACACCTGACTATAATTAACTTGATCAAATGTAAACGCAAATGAGTAGTTTGAAATTTTATTCTTCTCTTAATTAGCGGTTAATTTTCCATACAGGCTAAGAAATCAACCCAATGATGATGGAATCAGCAGGAAAGTGAAGAGGACCGACGTTTCAACCACAACTGCCAGATCAACGACATCTGCTGAAGAAGAACGCGAGAAAATTGTTATATTGCGACGAACTATTGAAGAAAGACTTCGGAAGGCAGCCGAAGCAATTTCAGGTGAAAATAAAAAAAAATTACTAAAACTCTTAAAATACAGGTGCAGTATTGTTACTGTAGTTGCAGTTGCACGAGATGCTGTTGACATCTATGTTGGGCATAACGTTTTCTACCAACTTCAGCTAATTCAAGAGGGGGATAAAGATTCATCTCATAAATTAAATTCCCGTTTTTTATTTTTCAAAATAATGCTTGGGGGATATATCCTTCTTGGATAGACAAAAACTGTTTTAAGGAAATAGAAGCACCTTATCGATTTTTCTTTACAAAAATATAATTCCGTGATTGAAAATTTACCGAAACGAATGGGAAATGATGCTCGATTCCACCAGTAAATAAATACTTCTCAAAATGTCCATTGTGATGAATAGGCACCCCAACCCTGAACATTTTTGTCTTAGTATCTTAGCTGCTTATGTTTAGTTTCAATATCAAAACTTTGAGTGCCAGTATTCAATTTTTTTCTGTTTTTTAATCAGGAAAAACGTTGACGACGGCGGACCCGAAGCGGAAATTCGACGAGCAATACCGCCTGAAAAAGCATCGCGCCGCCACGGAAGACCTCCTGAAAACCATCGCTCTCATGAAGAAATTCAACGACGACGAAGCCCGTCGACTCATCAAAGCGGAAATCCCGGCCCCGGATGTTCCCAACGAACTTCCGGAACTGCCTTTAGTCACTACCTTCCGCCCAACGTGGACCACCGGCGGGTTCCTTCCGAATCACGGCTCGTCGTCATCCTTCCCGTCAAAAATCCATCCCATCATCAACAGCGTGAATCACCCGCACAGACCGAGTCCAACCCAACGAAGCAAACCTCATTCGCAGCCCGGGTACGACACTAATAAGAAAACTTTCCACTGGCCTCACAAAGGCGGCACTGAGTCCTCGTGGCGGCCTGTCAGAGTCCTCTCGCGGTCTCGTCGGGAAGACGAGAATGATTCCAAGCCAAGCAATGACGACGCTGTCATCACGGTCGTAGATGTGCCTTGGACTGACATCGCGGAGAAAGAAAAAGAAGCTGTCCTTGTGAATGTTTCTGAACCGTCAACAGAGGTCGTTCCTACTACAGCAACGACCGCTACAATTAAGAAGATCAAGAAGAAGGTGGTGCTGACGAATGATGATAAGAAGGCGTTAGCTGAGTATTACTATGAAAATGATGCAGAACCCGGGTTTTGGGATGATGATAATGATGTGGGGGACTGGGACTGGGCGCGGTCGTCCGACCAGAACTCCTAATTAATCAAATTAAATCAAACTGATTTAATTTGAATCAAGGCTTCGAAGGTTGTGGATAAAATTTGCCAAATCATTCATGCGCAGTTGAAAAAGGGGTTTCAGAAAAAGTCTTGTAAGTCGCCCGCACATCATTATTAGAGGCAGGAACTAGTACATAATTTTAAGCGAATATTCCTGGAAATTTAAAATTTTCATATGGTTGTCGGACGAAAGTCAGAAGCAACTACAATCTACAGTTTTTTTGTCAACCGTATGAGAGAATTTCGAAGACCTAATGCAGTGCATAGATCACTCAGCAATAGTCAATAAATTCCAGTGGTAAATTCATGATCCATAGACTTCAGCTAATTCGCAGCACCTCAAATTCAGAATCGAATTGACGAAAAAAAACCCAGTCAAGCTTCGTATTTTTCAATTCTGTTTTGAATGAATTTGAAAGAAAAAAGTTGTACAAGATGTTTATGAAGTCGTGCTTTCTAGTCGAAGTTACCCGTTGTTGAAAGAAACTTCGAGCTTTGTGCGAGGTGTCAATGCTGTACGATGAAATTGTATCCAGGGATTGTTGTAAGTTACCATTTTTTGGAGCTTGATAAATGAATTCTTACGAACGCCTATTTTTACTTTTTTCGCCAATTCAAATCCTCCAGAAACGTTGGGAGGGGAAAAATAGTTACTACCTGGTACCAGGAATTACGGAACACTGAACAAGACGGTACTAAATTCGCGTTTTAAATTTTCCTGAACTTACGATCTACAGCAGCAGTCGTAAAAGTTTCCGATTGCGGATTAAGGACGGACAGGATTACAGAAAATCTCCTTTCGTCACATGAGCCTGCTTTTTGAAACCGAATACTGCCAAATGCATCCGAAACAGTTAAGCACTTTAATAAATTAACCAAGCATCTTTTGGAAGTTCCAGAAGTCTTCACCTCCGACGAAGAAAGAATGGGCGGGATTCTCGTAACGCTAAGCTTTAACAGTCCTCTAAAATTGGTAACAAAATACATGTAAAAGGCTTTTAGAGATTTCCAATGATAACTAACGCACGAATCACTTCATATCCTCGAGAACATCGTCATAAACTGCAAGAACCGCATACTGAGATGTTTCCAACGCAGTAAATGCCAAGGTACATTTGACTTTGACGTATTACTCGCTCGACATGGAACGCAGTCCGTTCCCGCAAAACTACGCGTTAAATTACCATGTTCTCAGGGACGAACGTGACTAGCCCTTCAAAACCTGGCGACAACTCAATCCAAGAAATCCTAACAAAGCACTTGACACAGTAGAATGCAAATCCTCCACAAAACACGCGGTTCTAAACCCGTGACGTGGTCTCGAGTGGCACGTAATTCCGTCAACTCTGTTTTTCACGAACCGAGAAACAAAACAATGAAACTCGGAATTCTAGTAAAAAGAGGGAAACCAAGCAAGGCGTGTATTTCTGCATTCCGTGCCAATTATTCCGGACGCAACGACGAAGCACATCCATGAAACGATTCACGAGCGTCGCAAAGCTAATCCACACCGTTTTTCCACGTATTCTTCGCTAAATTCCCACTTTTCATCACGAAGAAAGCCGAGAGTAGGACGAAATTCCGGTTAAGCATTAAGCTTTTCCTTTTGATATCAAGACGCGGAAATTTCACCGGATTTGATCAAATACTCGAGCTGGAAAAAAAGTTCGCGGGGGATGCCTTAAATATCCCGCAAGAAATTAGCGCCAACCGCACCCGCGAACAATCCGCAATGGCGAAGAAAGGAAGCGAAACCTTCGCGCATTTAAAATAACGAAACCAACGGGAACTCAAATCCATTCTTCACATCCCCGCACATTCACACTATAGCTCCTTTCGTTCCCAGGACGGTGAAGGGCGTGAAAATTCGGTCTAGAAGGTGCGGCAAAGAAGTCTACGAACAGGAAATCTAAGCAGTGATGAATCACTCAAAAAAAAAGCTCGGGATTTCCTGGAAGGGCAAGAACATAAAAAACTGGTTTTCTTCAGCAGTGTCTCAGGACGAAATTTAGAGCTTGTAAGCTGGCAGCAAACGTTTTCCGTTATCCACTTCACACTCAGGGTTCGGCCTCCGCAGCAGGGGCTTCCTCACCAGCTTCCTGCGAAAATTCATGCGCACAACACTGAAGTTACACATTTCAGTATACTTCGCGGTCCGGTGGGAAATTTGAACGGATATCCATTTTTCCGTTTGGGGAAGTCACGGTTTAACATAACCTCCAGGAACTAACAAATTTATGAAATGGTACGTTTCTGTGCCGTGAAAATTGATGAATATAATGAACCGTTCATAGGCACAGGTAAAAAAAAAATTCTCAGTTTAGCTTAGAAAACCATTGCTTGATCAAGGTTTCTCGCAGATATTCTGGAAGTGATTTTGATCGACAGGGGAAAACGTTTTTCAATTGCGGTTACCTTTTCAGGGGCAGCTTCTCCTTCAGCAGCAGGGGTATCTTCAGCTGGTGCAGCTTCTTCTTCAGCTGCAGGGGCCTCTTCTTCTGCAGCTGGAGCTTCTTCCTCAGGTTGAGCAGCCTCTTCAGCTGGTGCAGCTTCTTCCTCAGCAGCTGGAGCCTCTTCCTCAGCAGCTGGGGCTCCTTCCTCAGCAGCTGGAGCTTCTTCAGCAGCAGGGGCTTCCTCTTCTGCTGCAGGGGCTTCTTCTTCTGCTGCAGGGGCTTCTTCTTCTGCTGCAGGCGCTGCTTCCTCTGCTGCAGGCGCTTCTTCCTCAGCAGCAGGTGCTTCTTCTGCTGCTGGTGCCTCTGCTTCTGGCTCAGCAGGGTCACCAGCAACAATACCTTCGTTTTCCAAGTGTTTCATGGTAACTGATTCAATTAAGTCTGGAAACACAGGAATGGAATTTCACATCAACAACAGAACATGTCAAAAT